ATGCCTTAGGATAAATTCTAAGCTCCATAGAGAATTAGGATTTGAAAGTTTCCATGTCAAAGCATTTATCTAGGGGGAAATTTGACCTGGTTTGGAGTCAACTGGTGATACTAGAATGATTAAAATATCAATGCATTAATTAGCTCGCATCATCAGGAAATTCAAGGATACTTTCTTGTTATGCAGAATAAGCACATGGAATTGTTTACCAATTCTCAAAAAAGAATAAGCACATGGAATTGCTCCTCTTTGGAGAATGTTTATTAAATATGTAACTGGTTGTAAGTCACCTAATAAGCACTGAAAAGATTCAATAAGATCTTGGTTCAAAACTAATTCCAATTTCCAACAAGCATGCACATTAGATTTCTTGTTCTGTATTCTCATTGTGGATGGTTTTGAAATTTATAGAATTTTTTGAATTGTTTTCTTGGACTCTAGAGCTTATTGTGCTTAACATTGTTTGGGTAGGAATTTGTAGCTTTGAAGATCCAGAAAAGTGCACCACAATTTGCTCAAGCTGCTCTTCACGAAATTGAAGTCCTTTCTGCTATTGCCGACGGTGATACCTCTAATAGTAAATATGTTGTTAGACTTATTGACCATTTTAAGCATACAGGACCAAATGGACAGCATTCATGCATGGTCCTTGAATTTCTTGGTGACAGCTTATTGCGTCTCGTCAAATATAATCGTTATAAAGGCCTTGAGCTGGACAAAGTTAGGGAAATATGCAAGTGCATTCTAATTGGTCTAGATTATTTGCACAGGGAACTTGGAATTATTCATACAGACCTAAAACTTGAAAATGTTCTTTTACTTTCCACGATAAATGCCACAAAGGATCCAATTAGATCGGGAACACCGCCCATACTTGAAAGGCCTGAAGGGATCCCAAAGGGAGGAGCAACTATGAATATTATTGAGAAAAAGCTAAAACAAAGGGCAAGGAGGGCAGCAGCCAGGATATCCGGTAGACGGTCTTCAATGGGTGGGGTAGGAGGAGGTGCGAAAACAAATAGAAGTCTCGATGGTATTGACTTGAAGTGCAAGGTTGTGGATTTTGGAAGTGCATGCTGGGCTGACAAGCAGTTTGCACAAGAAATTCAGACACGACAGTATAGATCTCCAGAAGTTATACTTCAGTCTGGATATTCATTCTCTGCTGACATGTGGTCTTTTGCTTGTATTGCGTTTGAGCTTGCCACTGGTGAGATGATGTTCACACCCAAAGGTGGACAAGGTTTCAGTGAAGATGAGGTAAATAATTTCATCTATGCTTTTTGATCCAGTTCTTTTGATATGCACTACGTAACTGTTGTGCTCAGTGCCTTTCATTTGAATATCATCCTTTTTCTTGCAACTTACACTCTGGGGGCCACTGGATGTTCGCAGTGTGGGGAAGGTTCTCATTTATGTCTAGAGATGTTTTGGAATTTCATTTTGCTGATTTGCAATCAGCTATTTTTGCACATGTGAAGTGGAGTTGTCCAAATTAGCCATTAAAAGTTTTCTATCAGATGGATCTTATTGCACCATCAGAAGATTCTTAAAAACTGCACTTGAATGCATTTCTTAATGTCTTTTTTTGTTCCAGGATCACCTTGCTATGATGATGGAGCTTCTAGGAAAGATACCTCGGAAGGTGAGCAGCTTTTTTTGACTTGCCTGAGCCTTTAAGAAATTATTTAGAAGTAATTCTTTACATTATATCTTATAAAAAATGATGTGAAGCAGATAGCCAATGGTGGGGCTCGATCTAAAGATTACTTTGACAGATATGGAGATTTGAAGAGGATCCGGAGGCTGAAGTATGGGTCTTTAGAAAAATTACTTATCGACAAGTTCAGGTTTTCTGAAATTGATGCTCTTGAATTTGCCAAATTTCTTTGTCCCCTTCTTGATTTTGAGCCTGAGAATCGACCAACTGCACAGCAGTGCTTGCAACACCCATGGCTCAACATTAAAGGTCAAAACCAAACAGAGGTGAAGAGTGAATCTGGTATGGAAAAGGTTAATGTTGGGATGAGAAACCTACAAGTGAAGGCCGGTAAGTGATGTATGAATGAATGGTTGGTCTTCTCACTGCAGCACCGCTCCATTGCCCTCTCTCCCCCGTATCAGATTACTTGTGAATTAATTTTGGATTGTGTTTAAGATTTAATTAGATTCAAGTCATTGGTAGATTTAGATGTATTATTTTGATTGATTATCACGAGGAAACGACCTCCAAAAGGAGAAATTGGCATTAGTCCCTGAAATATCCCTAGGTGAAGCTTCCACTTGATTTAATGATGTTGACATTTACAAAAGAAACTATCCTTCATTCCGCTAACAAATAAGTTGGCCCGTGTTCTATTGAAGGCCTGGAGGAACAAAGCAAGCTCTACAGCGTTAGTAGTCTATGGCTTCATCTGGACTCAACATTATCAATCTAGGAAAGGATCTTTAGCAGCCTGTAGAGAACATTACATTAATGGGAGCCTCTTGATTTATGGAGTGTGTTATGTACATTTAAACATCAAAAGATTTGGATTCTGTGGAGGAAGTTTATTCTCCATTTCCGCAGGTAGGAAAGAATTCTTTTCTTTTTTGATTTTAACTCAGGTTGAAGTCTTTGTAACAACTGATATATAATTTTTTTTGTATACATCACTCTGAAGTATATTAGTTGCCACTTATTTTTTTACAGAGAACGCCGTTCCCTTTTTGTCTTGTTGTGTCTTAATGGATTGTATTGGTTCTTTCTTTTTGTCTACATATTCAACCACTGTTATATTATAAGGTGTCTGTCTCTATAAGGGACAATTTTTGTTGCTAAGAGGTGAATGGTGATATTGTCAATTACACTGTCACCAGTTCAAATCCTAGTGACCTAAACTCTTTAATTTTGTGCAAGAACAAAAAAGAAATGCAAAATGTACAATTGGTGAAAGTGATGGAGAAGAAGATGCACCTACCTGGCCTTAAGGAATAATAGAAATTGATGGGATCTAACGTGAAAGAGACCCAATGTCACCAAATACCGCTACAGGGACCACATGCCGACCCAATTTTGTTGCAAGACTTCTGGGCTTTTAGCACATGTATGAAGTGAATAAACATTAGCTTTCAATCATGTGTGGCTGAATTTAATTTATTCGTGAATTTTTTATAATTCAATATCAAAATTTATTTTATCATATAATTTTAAATTTGAAACATAAAATTGGGAGTTGAATCTCAGGTCCAGAATCGGGGACTGGTTTTGGATTGGGATCAAGAGTCGTCTCTTAGATTGGGGTCAAGAGTTGGATCCCATGTTAGGAGTTTGATCTCGAATCAGGATCAGGATTTGGAACTCATGTTAGAGTCGTGAGTCTAGTCCCAAATTAGGATCCAGGCCGGGAATCGAGAGTTCGGTCCCAAATCGTGGTGAGGGTCAGAAGTCAGGCTCTTGGTCGGAGTAAGAACCCTTGTTGGAGTTCGGTGGCAAGGTTGAAAGAGGGGCTTTTAAAAGTATTTTTCTTATTTTATCATAGAAAAGTCATTTTCTAAAAATTAGAGAAAATAAATTTATTTGAAACAAAACATATAAACCAATCAAACATGAGAAAATTAAAATACATTTCCGAGAAAATGTTCCCTTCATATACCAACCACACACTAAATGTAGACTTAAGTGACACTATCACCCAAATTATTATCAACTTCAACTAAATTACCTTATGTTTTCCCTCTTTAAGCTTTAAGGTACAAGCTTCGCAAGCTGCAACCAACTTTTTTTTTTCTTTTACAAATAATGAGGGTCGGGTATGGAAAAATGAGGAAGAGATTAATAGGATGAAAGTTTAGGTAATTAACCAAATGAGCTACTCAGATTTCCCAGTTATATTCAACTTCAATCGTATCCGCTGGTGCCACAAATTACTTGTGTAGTTTAACTTTATACATCATGATAATTGACATTCAATAGTGAAATAAAAAATTTCGTAAATGAAAAAATTGCCTCTTTAATTGACTTTATTAGTTGGGATCCTAAAATAAATGCAAAATATTGGGTGACAATTCAAATGTGTTGAATTATAAATGAACTGAGCTATAATTCTAACCTCAGTTTATTTAAATTAAGGTAGTTGAACTAGTTTAGGTCAATTAGTAAAACTTAACTCATTCAACTCAAAATCATTTGTGAATTGTTTGTCTTACTTTTACATTTGTTATCTTCTACAACACAAGCATATTCTTTCCCTATGAGCTCTTCTGATTCTTAATTCATTTCATTAGACCATCAAGTAATTTTCTACGGTGAAACAAAATATACGTCTCCTATTTATTCCTCAACAATTTACATGTCAACCTACATACATGATACAACACACATTAACTATTTTATTACTCCTTACACCTACCACACATTATGGCTCCAGCTGCTCTTCTGCAAAATCAAAACTGCCTAAAAGTAGGAATAATTTTATAATCTATTGGTAAACATAAATTTGTTCTATAACTAAGAAATCTCACAGGACCAGCTTCCGATGATTCGTTGCTCGATGAATAATAGATTCATTTGTCTTAATCAAATATTAGAGGGTTTTTCTCAGCAGGTTCTAACTCACATTGGATAATCTTATAACTGAACCAAAGCTTGGGGATTGTTAACATAAATTACACTTGTCATAACTATACTTTGAACAATTGTTGAAGCAGTTGAAAGATGCAAATATTTGGTCAGCTTACTCCTCAGTCAATAGAAATTACCTCTGCAGAACCATACTCTACTATTTTTGGCAACTATGTATACTAGATAAGGTTTGTTAGTAATTTCCTGTTGTGCTGTTGTTTATGGTTGACAACATACTGATGAAATTAATAACATCTTCCTATAAATTCACATTCATGTTAGATCTGAAAAAGAAATGGAACTAGAGCTTTGTGGTACCTGCACCTGGTTTAATTACAAGGTAATCGAAAAGCATAACTAAAATTTCTAGAAAGAAAGTATCCTGTATGAGAAGTGGTTTCAGTGCAGTAACAGGGCTCATATGATTTAGCCATTTTGCAGGAAGCATGTGTGATGATAATATGGAGGACTATATCAATGCCATTTACAACTTCAAATGTAAAGAATACAAATGCTGGAAAAAAAATTTATACTAGAATTGAATTGGTTGAGATTATACTATTACAATCTATGTAATCGTCTCCGTGCATTCTCCACATTCAATGGCAGCACATAAAGCCTTCCAGATGGGCGCTAACATCTTCACTGGTGGACGTAATTCCTGGATATTATATTAGAATACAGCAAATTGTGTAAGTAAGAGAAAAAAAAAACTGGAGTTATATTCTCTACCAAGTCCTTTGTGTTGATTAAAAGTCCTTTCCTTTGTTTGTTCTATCTTAAATTCCAACCAAAAAGCAAACAAAATTCGAAGCTAGAAACTGGACATCTCATTTTGAAGGGCTATTTTTCAACTACAAAGATACGAGTATGAAGATTGCTAAGGATTTGCTAGATAAATATAGCAGGGATAGAAATTTCACCTTGAATACTAGCATAAGTTCTTCCTCTCCTCGAATAATCAAAGACAGACTCCAATAACAGGTGATTGGTGTGACACATTCTGTCAGCACTGGTTTCAAAATCCTGCTGATGGGGACAAACTGGCGAACTGTTTTCCCACTAAATACAAAGGGCTGAATTAGAATTTTATTTTGATAAACATAAAACTGAAAACAACAGGTAGGAGTTTCTCAGATCAGATACAAGAATTGTAAAATGGTACCCTCATGGTTCCATGTAAACGGTATCATCAAAATATATTCAAGTGATTCTAAGAAATTAATCATTTTCAACTTGGATGCAATAAGAACTTCATCTGTCCAATTTCATATAGGAAAATAACTTGAGCAGTGCACACAGAGAATCTAGGCACAGAACAAAAGTAATACACTAAACACTTCTACTTGTTTATGTAACATAGTTAAACATCTCAGAAAAGAGACTAAGAAACAAGTTGCCGTATGCACAGCAATCTTTAAGGAAACATAAACAAAACCCCCGCTCCTATGCAATAGCTCGCAAACCACGTAGGAGAGGTAACCCGCACTAGCCAAGCCTATTGCGACGAGCTCGACCCAGAAGGCAAACCCCTTGCTTTCGCTAGCAAGGGGTTTTGAAGTTGAGACCTCCAACATGAAAGTCCCAAGCTCAAACCATTGGGCCACCCCAAAGGGTTTTTAAAAGCATCACAGTGTTGAAAATTATTTTACAATTCACTTTAAGCAAATAGCAAAACATTCACCTCTACACAGGAGCAGTAAGTACCTTCCATACTGAGTCTCAAGTTGAACTCCAAAAGCTGGAAGAATTAGAACAGACTCTGTCATAAGCAAACACAAGATACAGAATGAAATATAAGTTGGTGAATACATCCCAGAACCAAATGATACTAGCGTATTCATTATACTATCTTTTATAAGGGAAGAAGCTAAATCAATAAAGCATCCACAAAATATTTGAGAATTAAGAAGGTATGGTACATGAAATACAACGTGATATGAATATTCCTACAAAGTAAAAGGCAAGTTTTGTAAAAAACTATGAGACCAGCAATGTGACATTGGGGTGATATATTGGGCAGCAAGGCCAAACATATCCACTAGAATAGTCATGGTGGAAATAACGATTTCTAGATAGATGTGGGGCCATATAAGATAAAGCCAGAAATGATTACAAACAGACCACAAATGCACAAATATAGTATAAAACGAAAGAATATTGTTTGAGATAGTTTAGGCATGTCTTACGTCAACCTCAAAATGCACTTGTCCATAGGTGTGACACTATGTTGCTTGAAGGTGCTAAGAAGGACAAGGTATACCTAGAACTACATGGAGTGAAGTTGTCTCCAAATGACCTACAATCTGTACGACCAGTTTGAACTTAACAAATAAGAACATAGTAATGGATCTGTATAAGCAATAGCAACAAATTAAGATTAAGATTTAGTTGCTCTTATTACACTTAACATTATGTCCTGGCAGGGGTAAGGGTGATTCAGAAAACCTTTAGTTTCAAGAGAGCCTAAAATTTGCGTTGGAAGAAAATCTCTTTACCAGATTTAATAAAATTGTCCCAAAATGATTCAGAACTCACAGATGGGAAACCAACTAACTTGTGACCGAGATATAGTTGATTGATAGATTGTACATGAACCACAAATGGATGCCCCATCATCTTGGTTCCAAATAAAATTTCCTCTTAGCATATAGTTTCTGTGTTCTAGCAAACTTTTTGATGCCGGAAACAAGCAAGAATTACACGCACAAACAAACTCACACACATTATTTATATTTACCCAGCTCCTTTTGTTGGCTTTCGATACTAAGGTCCTGAAATCCTAGTTATTTGGAAACATATACGTACATACAAATCCGTGCGCACACATATATATACAAGGATAAGGGGAATGTAATGATCCCCAGATCGCCAGACACTGATTATCAAACTTTAATCAATCGTTTGCAAGAAACTAGAACATAATAACTACAAAAATACAGCAAATATTAGTATATTCATTTCAGTGATACCATACAACAATCAATATTTACCACTGCATATGCTGGGTTTAAAACTGATTAAAGGTTAAGCTATATCAACTACCATATTAAAACTCTGTCAAGAACTTTTACCTACTATGATAGATAATACTTCAATTCCTATTGACAGACAATTCTAAGGCGAAAGGTATTATATCCAAGGTACTAACTGAAGCTACCGAGTGAGAAGGACATGGAATATTTAATGAGTTTTGGTCACAGATTTTGACCTTCTCACACAATGTGCATCAATACAAAGTGCAACGGCAGTGATTTCCAGCTGAAGGGATTTCATACCGACCCATATAACAGTGGATGTGATTAAATCTGGAAAATGCACAATATAAGCTGTACAAATTAATAGAAGTTACACATCCTCACCTTTCTTAACTGGCTTCTTTAGAAATAACCTCATAAGCAATGTCATGATAACTAAGCTCCAAATATGAAGAGTATCTAGCTTTCCCTGCATTAAAAGACCTCCCATCAAATCAAACACAATGTTTTTACTTCATAATTCAGATGAACCAAGTTTTGACCCCAGCTACATCTTTAACAGACTTAAAACCCCAAATGATTAACCACCACAAACAAAATACTATTATCATTGCTAAAGCTATTGAGGATAGAAAAAGTGAGTATTATCCTACCCTCTTCCTTCTAATTCCAGGAAAACGGAAACCCCTAATTGCAATTTTCAAGCCAGATGATAAAATTCTTCAGAACTAGCAAGAGAGGCAGTATAAATTGGGGAAAAGAATCACACTTTACATAAACTGGTAGTACTATTACTAATATCATAAATACCAGCATTATGTGAACTAAGAGTTCCATTAGAGATTACATTTCTAGGGCTGATGAACTCTAATTTGAAATGAAATGAAATAAGGAAACAACGAGATTGGCTTGGCAAGGAAGATGAAGGTATAATTTACCTGCCGGAATAACAGAAAGGTGGGATAGGCAAAAAGGAGAAGAGTAAATAGGCATAAATTGAAACCCTTTTCTCTACTCCTTCGAACCACAATATGGTGAGCGTCAATGGCTTCAGGTGGGCCTTTACCCACTTCATGTACGTATGTGTATTTTCCTACTGCAATGGCCAATGCCTCCGCCATGCCACTGTTACTCCGGCATCAACGTCGACGAATTGCAGATTTGATCAGGGATTCAAGAAGATAACTCTCAACGGGTTGATCCGGACCCATCAAAGAAAACACTTATGCTGTTTAAACTCTATAATAACTATTATTAGTAAATACATTTGAAAAGAAAAATAAATGTGATTAAAGTCAAAAATGGAATTTTTGGTAGTTAGATATTGTATTTGCACATTAAATTTATCTTGTCAAATGAAATTATTTATTTCATTTAAATAATCTTTAAATTAATTTTTTAACTTCAAATTATTATTTCATGTTGAAATTGAAATAACTTAACAAATTTTATATCAAAATGATGTTTCTTTTTCATTCATTGACTTTTTATGCACATTAATAATGAAAATAACACACATGATTGATATATATATATTACACATTCAAACAAGATGAGTTATTGTGATATCCCAGAAATTAGAAAGTCGAAAAGGAACGAAAAATGTAAAAACATTGACTGAAGTGAGGTTCTACGAAAGGAGTCGCAGACATGGAGATGATATTTTAGAAAATTAAGTTTCTAAAGTTTGACTACGAATGAACAGGACGAATTGTATGGTGGTTGATAGATTGTAGATGACACTCGTAAAATTGATTTAGAGATTTGATTTAGGACCTCGGTCCTACGAAAAGGATTTGACGGGATGTCATTTTATCTACGGGTTGTAGGAAGGTCATGTAGTAAGGGTCCAAACTTAGTGAAATTTTGGAATGAAAGTTGACTTTTATGAATGACTTATGGATCGTCAAAAGTTTGATATGTCGTTGAATGGTCTCATGGAAAATGATTGAATATTTGGGATACTGAAGTTGGTTCTACGGTTGACCAATACGAGCCGTAAAAATACCTAAGCACTGTAGGTCGCAATCGTAGGTCTGTCGAACAATTATTCTTGGAGGGTATTTTTTGGGTCTTTTCATATGCATTTAATGCCTATACTACATCGTTTTGATCATGATTCTAAGCCCTATAACTATCGTTCCCCTTAGAAAATTCTCCAACTCCCTCACTTAATCAAATTCCAAAACTCTCTCTAAGGTGTTCTCTTAAATTCTCTCCAGATCAAGAAAGAAGAATATAGGGTTCTTTAAGGTCAAGTCTCCTTATTCACCATCAATTCTGGAGCTTCAACATCAACGTATGTAGGGAATTCATTAATGAGTTTCATTTACCCATTGAGCCTCTAAAAATTCTTTAATTCTCCAATTCAATTGATTAGATTTTCCTTCAATTTCTCATGAGTTCTATTTGTATAGATTCATTTGTCTGATTTTGATCATATTACGACTATTTAGACTCAATTGTATTTTTTAATCAATTCAAGTGAACTCATGCATTGATCTAAAGCCGAGCGAGTGACGACGACGACGGCGCGAGGGGATATCTTCTTCTTAGCTCTTAAAGAAGTAATGGAAGTGTTTCTTTATATAAGGACAACAATTTCCCTTTCTTATATAAGGACAACAATTTCCCAAATTATATTCTCTCTTTTTCTTTTCCCATTCATGCATAAGTTCATGAAAGTTTTTCTCACATACATAAGAAATGATGAATGGTGAAAGGTTCTCTCAAACGTGGTTTAAATAGAGTTTGGATTAGTATCTTAATTGTGTTTTTCAATGGATGATGATGATTTTATGTTTATGACTATTCTTTTGAGATTTTTACTTAGCACGGAGAGTATATTGAGATGGAGGCTCTCCCGTTACCGTTAGTAGAGGTTGGATCTGTAGTAGCAATCTTCTTGTCCATAACTTTATGCCTCAATAGGTTGTATTAAGTAAAATAACTAGTGGATCCATCTAAATTAAAAGTTTAAGGTTGTTGTCTTGATAACAATGCCATCTCTTTTCGGTGTGAAAGCAAGACACCAAATTCTATGTTATAACTCACATGGTTTATGTTAGTTAACGATAAATTTCCCACAAAATTAACTAAGGTGTTTTCAAATGTTTTATGAAGCTTCCTCTTATGATTTTAAGATGCATTGATCATGTTTATGATTATGATTCTATTTAAAGTTTTTTACTCTGTTAGCTTGATCATGCATATCATGTCTTCAGAGAACCTTTCTCTAATGACTTGGAGTATTAATCAACGTAAAAGAGCAGCTAACATTGTTTTAAACCTTAACTTAGAGTAAAAAGTCAGGTTTTAGGCTAGTAATAGGTGAAAAAAGTTTGAAATGCGTTTCTTAAAAAGATGATAAAAGACTTTCACGGGGCCATCTATGGTTCGTGATTTATTCAACGAATCGTAGATCCCATCCGTGAAATTCATACTAAATTTTAAGGCTCAAATTTCATTCCAAGAGTTTGAACTGTAAGTTACTGCATATACCGTAAAATTCATATTCTATTTTAAGACTCAAAAGTTCATTCCGCTATAACAATCAAAGTTATACAAATTTGTACCATGTATTGTTTAATTCTTACACAAATACTAGATTTGAGTATGATGTTATCTAAAAGAATAGTCTTTAAAGATTATACTAGCATTACTTTTAAAAATAAAAACGAAAATGGTCAAAATAGTTCCTGAACTATGTGAAATAGATCAACTATATCATCTATTATATTTTGGTATTAAAAATGCCCCTGTCTTTGTCTCAAGAGATCATAAATCCCCCCAAGAGTTAACAACCCAAATTTTTTACCGACTTGACAAGCCACGTAGACTAACCATCCACCTAAGTGTTCTTAACTAGAATTCACTATAAAAAAAATTGGATCTTTAGCAGCGAAATAAGTCACCACAAAATTCCAAAATATCGCTACTAAAGATTTTCAGTAATTTTTATCATTAGATTGTAAAAATGATTTTGTATTTTTTTTCTTTATAACACGTATATTATTTTCTAAAAATCACAAATAACATCGACTAAGGTGGCATTTGAAGATACTATTTGTTTTATTTTTAATATCATATTTAAATACATAAAATATATGAAAAAGCATTGTGTTGTAAGAGATTGAACAAGTAATTTTAGTAATATTATTGTAGATATATATTACTTTTACAAAATTAGGTCATAATTGAAAATTAATTGTCAAATTCTTTTATTAAAAAAAAAAAGATTTTAATGGTAAAACATTTTTTTATCCCAAATAAAATCGAGGATAAAAGAAAAAAGCGTGAAAAATTCAAAACTTTGCATCAGAAATCAGAGAAAGGAGAAGAAAACACGAAATGCGGAGATATTGGTTCAGCAACAAAGATGAGGAATCCATAAAGTAAGCAGGAGAAAGGGTTGGAGAAGAAAATGGAGACATCAATGGAAGGATCCGTTGCGGCGCCGATTATATTCCTTATCGTCGTCGCCGTTCAGTACTTTTCCCGTCATGTCGAACTCAATACCAGTGTATTTTCTCCTTTTCCCACCTCTTATCAAAAATTTATATTAATTTCATAATGTGTATGATATTTGGATTCATGTGCCTCAGTGTTTTTATTTCTCATCCGATACATTGTTGATTTATGTGTTTGTGTGAGAGAAACTGTGTACCTACACATATACAACAATTTATACTTGCATATCATATCCAGACAGATGCGGACCTATGTGTGTACGTATGAGGTGTAACTTCGGGAAAAATTATGTATATATGTGTATATATAGCTTGAGATATGAGATATATTTCATCAGACACTTTAAGAACACTAAAACTGCACTAATAGTGTAGTGGTTTAAACCATGCGCTCCTCCTAGGTGAATATATGGCTAAAATATGGAGCATGTGGAAACAAGATGTTTTATGTTGACAGTCATGCCACTAGTAAGCTAAATGTTGCACTTGGTTGAATGTTGAGTTATTTATCTGTACTACCGATATATATATATACGTATACACACACAATTGATCGCATAATATTGATCTTGTCTTTTATTTGAATAATCCATTTGTCAAGAGTTTAACACAAATGAAGTCATCCTGTTTATAGGTCAAAGTTTTTTTCTGTTTCTGTTCAGATAAATCACAAGTCTTCTAATCCTTTTTCTTAAGCAATTAATTTGTTTTATTTTGCTGTTTGACTTATCTCTAATATAACAGTCTTCATTGTCAGAGAGTTGCTGTTAATGCTGCGGAGTTGAAGTTGCGTGCAGAAATTAAGCAGCTGCAAAAGGAAGCGAATGCCATGTCACAGTAAGTGATTCCAATAGTTCAAGTAATTAATCTTATCTGATCTTGTATAGGAATTCAATATCTTCTATTGTAATTCGTGTTACTTGCAGTTCTGCACATGAGTGTTATATTTTCTCTATCTCTTAAAGTTCACTTGATCTATATTAATCTTTGATTATTTCTCTATGAATATGACAAGTTACATCCTTCTAGTAATTCTCTGTCACATTCTATATGCTTTAATTATACTCGAGGTAGAGTTTAAGATGTCAATTTGACTTTTACCTTACCTGATCAAAACAATATGCTTGTTTGACTTATATTATAACAATGACAATGGATTAGAATGTTAATGTAAGCTTGATATAGAAAATCATGTATCAAAGTTCAAAAACTTGAATGATTTAATGAATCTGAGTTCTTGAAGGTTGCAAAATTGTAATTAAATGAAACGCTCTCTAACATTTTTGAATGTTACAATACCGAAAGGGTGTCATATGGTGGAGTTTTATTTATCTTCATATCTATACGGAATGGAAGACTATATGTTAATAGTTAATGGTAGATGGTGAAAACAAAAGTTGCTGTTTTTAAGTAGACACATGGTTCCAAAAATTTCCCTGTTATGCCGTATAAAACTTATGATGTGTCTTAGGAAATGTTCAGGTTTCCAACCAAAGTACTAGTATTTATTCTGTTCCTTCTGGGATTTTAGTTAAGAAAGCGAGAGTTGCCATAGGCTGGTAATTCACTTTGGAGGTGATAATAATTTTGTACAGTATATATGATATGTAAAAGCTTATGTTGTTTTCATATTGATTTCAGGCCTTCAACGTTTGCACAAGCTGCCAAACTAAGGAGGACGGCAGCAGCCAAGGAGCAGGAGCTTGCAAAAAGTATGGCATATACTACCATACTAAGAATAGATACTATTGTTTATCCATAATTTTTATAGA